CGTGACGTTGCGCGCGCCCCGGGTCGCTATTGGTCGTGAGCCGGTTCTTTGCTGGCGTGGGTCTCCTGCCCCGACCCCTACCTTTCACTTCCTGGGTTCCCAATCTTAGGCCGTTATTCTCGGTGGGGTGGGGCGGCCCTAGGAATCCTAGTCCGATTTTAGGAGATAACCGCTGGCCCTGGGAGTGCTTATGGTTCCTGTTCCACCTAGGCCACTTGCTATGTGTGACCTTGGCCGAGTCATTTCACCTTCGCTAATCTATATCGCCCTCTTGGCATCCAGTGAATATTTATAGGATGACTAGATGAATAATGTGTTTTAGATCTAGTGGTGTGCTAATAAATGTGTAACAACTGGCTCTGGGAGAGAAAGGTACCGTATGGGCCGCCCTACCCCACCGAGAATCTATGTACATAAATTTGTCAGAAATTGTACCGATAAAAAAATCAGTAGCACACTTTTTTTAAAAAATTATTTTATTTGACTTAATTTTTTTTTGGAGAGATTTTTGCTATAGGGCGCGTGCGCTCGCCAGACAGAGACATAGAGACAGAAATCAAGAAATCACCCCCCCAGGGAGGATGGTCATGCCACAATCCCTTCTCCATTCTCCTCTCGGGATCTTGGGCATGCACGCACACGGCGTGAGTTTTAAGCCACCGGGTCCGGGACGCGAACCGCGGTCGACTACATGGGAGTCCAGTGACATAGCCATTACGCCAACTGCTGGTTCCCTATCTATTTCTTTTTAATCTGACCAGAGAGGGACAGAGAGAGAGAGAAAATAAAGCAACCCGCCAGGTTAGGGTTTCAGACCATGGTAAGCCATGTGGGAGTCCAGAGCCCTTAACCACCATGCAACCTGCCACCCCAAGTAGCACACAATTTACAAATAATAATTAAATACACAATAGTAAATTCCGTGTAACTGATCTCACAGAATGCTTTCACTGATTTTTGGCTCTCTGATATGGATAGCCAAACTGATGACAACTAACCAAGTGTAACTACAAGACAAATGCTCATTGGTACATTAATGTCCACGAAAATTGAGAAAACAAATGCAGACTTAATTGGATTGTCAATGATGGAAATGACTTTGTTCATTGGGAAAACAGTTTTCAAATACCTCAAGAATGTTTCCTCAGTTTTGTTATTCAACAGTGTGATGGCTACGGACATAACATATCAAAGTTTGAATTATTAACATTTTCTCCATCACTGTCTTAATTCTAAATGGCTAATAAAACAATAAATCAAGCCCTGGTTTGTACCATTCTCCTCTCGGGATCTTGGACATGCATGCATATGCGCCTGGCCTCCAGGTGGGATTTTGGACATGCATGCATATGTGCCTGGCAGTCCAACAGTTGGGAGTCCAGCTTCTTAACCTCGACACCACCTGCTGGCCCCCTCACAGGGACCTTTTCAAAGTGAATATTTGTGTACAGCTTGTGATTGTAACTGTTCATGGTTTCCCACTGTTCTTAGGCTAAAAACAAAACTCAAAGAGGCCTATATGCCTCTTGGAGCCCTGTGTGATGTGACCCCCTCCTGGTGTCTGGTCACATCTCCCAGCCAGGCCCACCTGTGGACACCCTCATTTTCCCAGTATATTTATGTCAAGTATCCACATAAGGATGTTGCCTAACAATTTCATTTTGGGGGGAGACATCTCTCTCTCTCGTTGTTTAGTGAACTCCTCATTCTTCTGATTGAACCTCCCTACCTCAGGGAAATCTGCCTGCCTGGACTCTTCCACCTCCTAACTGAGTTCTTTCTTTCTTTTTTTTAAAATTAATTAATTTAATTCTATTTGTTGTTATTATTTTTTAATTTGACTAGACAGAGAGAGGGACAGGAAAAGCAAGAAAGCAAGTTGCCAGGTCCGAGACTTGAACCACAGACACTCAACCACCTGGCCACCCACCGCTCCCTCTCCTAACTGAGTTCTAAGACCACTCCTTTGTTATGGACTTTCCAGCACTCTTTTTCATGGACTCTCCAGCACCGAGGACTGCCTGGCATAGAGCAGGCCCTGCAGGCATAATCATGGAATGGATATTCAACCTTAGGCCTTCTAAGAGGATCTGGATACAAATTCATCTCTAATTCTGCGCAACATAGTTCATTTCCTTCTTTGCACATAAAGAAACAAACTAAAGCTCAGAGTTATTTAGCTAAGATCATTTGGTTCGAAAAGATGAAGTAGAATTCAAAACCAGCTGTAACTCCCAAGATTTATTTTTTAATTGCCAGAGGGCAACTGCACTTGCCAGAGACAGAAAACATCCCGCCAATAAGGCATAGTCATGCTGCAATCCCTTCTGCTCCATTTGTCCATCCTGTTGGGACTTGGGACATGCCCGTGTGCATGCCCTGCATGTTTTTCAAGCTGCCAGGCAAGATTTGAACCCCAATTAGCCATGTGGGATCTAACTCCCTTAACCAATTGGCCACTGGGCCCAGCCAACCAAGATTTTATTCTCTACTCTCTCTCTTCCAGCTACCTCTTAGGTGTCATTAGGTTTCCTAAAAAATAGAGAAATTGCTATAGGAGCACAGAATACCTGAGGCCTAAGACTACCAAGACTGCTGACTCTGAAAACTGATCCTAGAGCAGATCGCCAATAAGACCAAGGCCTATGGCTCTGCAGCGCCCTCTGCTGTCTAGATACTTTCTTGATACCAGAAGAGGCTATGGCAGCATCCGGGTGTTTCCACTTGCTCAGACACAAGGGAACACACATAAGCTGTCTCTCTCTCTTTCTTTTTCGAAGTTTTAATTTTTTTTTTAAATTTTATAGAGAGCACATGCTTTCACCAGAGAGACTCTCAGAGAGAGACAGACAGACAGAGACAGAGAAAGAGCCAGCTGGTGGCATGGTGAAGTTGACTACATTTCATTTGGCCAACTCCATGGTCTGAATCCCAAATCCAGCAGCTTGAAAAACACAGCGACTTAAAAAACACATTGAGCATGTGTGGGTGTGTGCCCTAAATCCCAAGAAGAGAACGGAGGAGAAGGGATTACAGTATGGCCATTCTCCCCAGAGGGTGATTTCTCACATTCTCTTTCTCTGTGTCTCTCTTCAGTGAATTCCCATGCCCTATAGCAAAATAAATAAATAAAAATAAAAAATAAAATTTTATTTTTATAAAATAAAAAGTGAGGGACCAGCAGTTAGTGTAATAGCTATGTCACTGGACTCCCATGTAGTCGACCGTGGTTCAAGTCCTAGACCCGGTGGCTTAAACTCACGCCGGGTGAATGTGCGTGTGTGCCCAAGGTCCTGAAAGAATGGAGGAGAAGGGATTGTGGCATGACCATCCCCCCTGGGGGGTGATTTCTGGCTTTCTGTCTCTGTCTTTCTGGCAAGTGCACATGCCCTATGGCAAAAACCTATCCAGAAAAAAAAAAAGAGAGAGAGAGAAAGTGAAAAAGGAGCACCCATGAAGATGGTCATACTGCAATTCCTTCTCCTCCATCTCCCTCCTTTTGGGATTTTGGATATGCACACACATGCACCTAGCGTGTTTTCCAAGCCACCAGATCCAGGACTTGAGCTATGCAGCAGGTCATGTGGAATTCAGCCACCTTGACCACTACGTCACCAGCTGGTCCCATGTTCTGCCTTTCTAAGATGGAACAAAGAATACCATCCTTCCCTGTTTCTTCCATTGTTCAGGCCCATAGCCCAGATCCTGAAAGAGACATTGAAAGTTGAGCTCCAAGCAAAGGAAGTGAATCTCTGAGTTTGTGTGACTTAGGTTTCTGTGTGTTGAAGAGGGTCTTATGTCTACACATAACTCTTTCACGGAAGGCTGTAATAGTGGTCCCTACAGTAATAGAGCCCTGGTTAAAACAATTTATGAAGGGGGCCAGCAGGTGGCCTGGTGGTTAAGGTGGCTGAATTCCCACGTGGTTGACTGGGTATTTGAGTCCGGGACCCTGTGGCTTGAAAATCATGCCAGGCACATGTGCCTGGGTGCCCAAAATCCTGAAGGGACACTGGAGGAGAAGGGTTTGCCATATGGCCATCCCCCCTGGGAGGTGATTTCTCACTTTCCCTCTCTCTATCTCTCTCCTCTCTGGCAGGCACATACTCCCTATGGCAAAAACCTAAACAAAACCAAACAATTTATGAAGAACAACACAGAGATCTAAAGGAGTTCTGAGGTTCATTTAGTCATGCGACGATAGGCTAGGCTTTAAGAGTTTGCTGATAAATGAGATAGATACGGTTGTTCCCCTCTGGACTCTGCAACTGGTCTAGTTTAAGCCCTAATCGAATCACTTCCCGGATATACAGCCAACCACACATAATTAAACACTTTCAAACTTGTGGGTTTTTTTGTTTGTTTGGTTTGGTTTTAATCTTTTGCCATTGGATATACACACTTGCCAGAGAGAAACAAAGAGAGAAAGAGAGAGAGAGAAAGTGAGAACTCATCCCAGGGGGAAAGGACATGCAGAAATCCCTTGTCCTCCATTCTCCTCTCAGGATTT